TTAATATCAGTTAAATCAGTTACGACATCACATGTGAAGAGCTAACTTTGTGCTTTGGTGTGGGTTTATTTTCTGCGGTGGAAGGATACATCCAGCAGGTTGACCATGTTGCGACACGTTGTGAGGCTGAAGCCGCTGGTCTGGATGTCAGATCCTGTCGGACACAAACACACTGACGGTTATTTCACTGTCGACGGGAACAAGCTGAGTCTGAGGCTCAGTCTTACGTTTTGTCACCACTTTGTTGAGGATCCTCTGCAGCTCGAAGGCGCTGATCTCACAGTCCTGTGGCGGAGAGACGTTTCGTCACGTAAATGTCAAACAGCATATTCTGAAACAACACGATCATCGGCAGCTCACCCCCCCCGCCAGCTGTCCGAACAGACTCCTGAACCGATCGTCCACATCGTCCTCGTCCAGCTCCACCTGACGACACAGGGAGTTAAGATCATGGTCACATGTGATGGCACGATATTTGTATAAAGAAGATTTTTTTATTCAGAGGAAACTAAATCTTGAAACACAAACTCTGTTTTTTTTCAGGAAAACTCAAATAATGAGCTATTTTTCTCAATTGATGTTTTTTGGAATCTTTTTGTTTGTTACTTCTGTGAAGGAAAGTTTTTCCTGACGTTCTCAAAGCCTCTCTCACCTTCTTCACTCTGGACTCGATGGGGTCGTCCAACTCTCTGCAGGAAAACAGAACAGTCACAGATTAACTCAGCATCTGCAGTTCCTCTAACAGCCACCAGATGCTGCCAAAACACCCCCCCACCCCAGGGAGAACCTACTGAAAGTCGGCCTGTTTCTCAGAGAAGACACGGACGCAGAAGTCTCCGTTGTTGTTGGGATCAAACGTGGATGGGACGATCAGATACTCTCCGGGCGGCAGACAGAAGCGGCTGCAGACTTCTCGCTGGTTGATGAAGGTTTCGGAGCGAGCGGTGGAGGCGTGGCGCAGGAAGAAGTTCTTGTTGAGGTGCACGGTCCTCTGACCAGCGAACTGACAGAGACACAAGGAGGCGGCTTCACATCACAGAACATTTCACAGAGAAACAAAAGGAAGACGAGAAACCGACTCAGAAGAATTGGAATGTGACGTGTCGGAGATGATCAGTACCTCGTCAGGAACCTGAAACACAAGAAACAAACACACACGTCAAACTCTGAGTCCAGTCACCTCACGTCTTGTATCTGACACCTCCCTAACTTCTGCTGCTCTTTCATTGGCTGCTGCCCACGTCCACCTCACACTCAACAGGTGTGAAACGACGTCAGAACCTGTGGCTGCTGTTTCCTGACTGCACACATGCTAACTGTTAGCTTGCTACACTCCCTCTCTCACGGCCGTCAGTTCTCTCAGAACTGGACGAATCAAAGTTTTGTTGCTGAATCAGAATTTGTCCTTGAAGCCAAACTGCTCGTACGGAGTCATTGCTCCGATCTGTCAAACAACAACATCCAGAAACGTGTCCTCACCTCGTAGATGGCATAACCAATCGTGTGCATGTCCTCTCCCATCTTCCTCCTGCGTCTGCGGTTCTTCTGGATCAGACCGACCACAAAGCTGCAGCCGGCCTCGCCATCATCAGGGTCGTCGTCCTCCTCATCCAGCTTGATGACAAACTGAGGGTTTGTCCAAAAAGTGTCTGTGGCCACAAAGCAAAGGGTGAGAAGGTCCTGCAGGACGCTGTTAGATGATTATTATGTGACCTGCTCTTGGTCTGACAGGATCTCACCTGGATAATTCCTGCAGCCTCCGGCAGTGGATCCTCTCCTCCAGCTGCCCTCGAACTTGGACAGAGCCCACTTGGAGATGCCCTCGTCACTCAGAGCGTCAGGCGTCAGGTTACAGATCTCCACCCGGGAGTAATGTCGCAGGAAGTCAGTGTAAGACATCCTGCAAGACAGAACACAGGGTTTCTCCTCACTCACAGAGCCTGATGACAACATTCAGGTAGTTTGAAGAAAAACAGAGAAAACTTTTACCAGAATTCTCCGTCCTCTGAGCGATGGCTCAGACGCTCTCTGTCCTCGTCGCTGACGTAACGCCAATTCATCGAACTGTTGGAGGTGAAAACAGTTAGACGACAACAAGAGGTTTTAGAGACAGTGCCCCCCCCCCCCTCGATGTTTGGAACTGCAGTTCCCATAATGCAGCTGAACTGACAAATAGAAGCAGCTGAAATGTCAGCCTCAGCCACTAGGAGGCACCAGTGAAATGAGTCTGTCAGTCATCTGTGGTGTTTGTAGAGCATCAGTCTCCACCCAGCTGAGGACAACAGGGAGGGGCCAAGGGACAAAAGAAGCTGCAGGTGTGAACATGACACCTGCTCAGGTGACTCAGTGACTCATTCAGGTGCTGCTGGGAAACTGAAGCTTCGATATGTCACATGTTGTTTTCATGTAGTATGTTACAGTTGCAGTACTTCACATGTTGCCTGTCATGCTACCTACTCATCACTCCAGGCTCCGGTCCACTCCACTTGACCCCAGGGATTCCTGACCCTGATCAGCTTTTCCTTGTCACCACGGTAATCCACCTGCAGCCAATCACACACAGAGAGTAACGTGACCTGATAATAAAAACAATGATCCTTCCAGAGCGCTCAGGTCACGTGACACAGAGACAGAAACAACAACAGACATCGATAAAACTGAAGAGCCAGTAGAGTAAAAGCCCCGCCCTTTGTTGGTCATTAAACCCAACAAAGAAGAAGAAGAAGCCCCGCCCATCTTCTGATCGTTCAGATCACACAAAAAACAACAAAATGTTAATTAAATAAAAACTGTGAAAACACTTTGACATTACTCATCTACATGTCACCGTTGATTGGATAACTCCTCTGAACTTTGCTGACGAACACCAGGAGCTCAAGCTGCTAATGCTCATGGGAAATTAAACACACACGCTCTCTCACCTCAGCTGCACCTGTCAATGAGTAGGCGTGGCCTTTCACCAGCTTCTGAGAGGTAACTGCCTCTGAGTCGGACGAACTCGTGATCTGAAAGAAATGTATTTTGCCACATAACGATGAACACACACACACACACACACACACACACAAAGTTCTGTTTTGTAGAAAACTCGAACACGTCAACATTAACGAGACGTTGTGTTTGACACTGTCCCTGATAACGTCCTCATCACATGCATGTAGTTTAATACACAACATGTTTAGAACAGTGGCCTCACGTCGATGGAGCAGCCGAGCAGTGACCCTCGGTCCAAAGCTTTTTGGATGATGTGGAACAGATGTGGATCCGGTCGGTTCAGGTCGTGGCTTTCAGCGATGCCTCCGGTGAAATCCTCGAAGCCCTCGGTGGTCGCTCCTCCAGACAGAGCCTCGTAACATCCGTTCACCCTGAAGTGACATCACACACCCATACCTGAGAACTGCTGTGTGTGTGTGTGTGTGTGTGTGTGTGTGTGTGTGTGTGTGTGTGTGTGTGTGTGTGTGTGTGTGTGTGTGTGTGTGTGTGTGT